ATTTCACCTGTAAAATTTAAACGTGATTTTCTTTCGATACTGTTCATTGTTTGATCAGTGGAATGTAATCATATTACTTGGACGTAATCAGTAACAGATAAACGATAAACAATATGAGACACACTGAACTTTAGCTTATAATAGTTAAACTACAATGATATGTGTAGATTATTTTATGATTTAAGAAAATTATGATTTTTAAATTGCAATTTTAGCATTATCACTTCGAAAATAACTAATGCGCCTGTCTTTAACTTTATTAATAGATAAGTTCAAACGTTTATATTACTTTAAATATTTGTTAAAACAGAATAACAACTTTCATATTGTGTAGAAAATCATTCTGAGAAATGCTAATAATTTAATTTATTAATAATATGAAAGGAGTAAAAGGATAGCATTGCTATATACAAAATTCAGGAGAATTGTATACGCATATTCAGCAACAAATAAGTAAATAATACGTTACTATTACAAAAAATCTAACATAATTAATGGAAACATGTATTTATTATATAGGTAAATGTCTCTTCAATCCGAACATGTATTTATGTTGTAAAAAGGTAAGTTTACATATCAATAAAATAGAAATACCGAGTAGAAATTACTATTTGAGATGCCGGTTTTCCTCGGAAAAATGTTATAGGGTCATTAAATAAAGGTTATATACTCATACAAAAATGTATACACGGAAAAAGATGATGTATACACAGTATTTCTAATAAATCTATAGTATAATAGATCAGACAGAAAATAATTTTACACCGAAAGAAATTCTGGGGACTCGCTAACAATTTAATACAGGTGAAAATGGCAATGGTAATACGTTTAGTACTCAATACATTTTGCTACAAATGTACTGTACAGTACAGTATATATGCACAAAGTTTCATAGAAATTGGTTCAACCATTCTCACATAATATTCGAACAGACACGAATTCAATTTTACATACTTAGAACATTGTGATTTTGTTGTAATCAGAAGAAATAATTTTAATGATTTTTCTCTGTTACTTTTTAAAAGTTTTCTATCTGTTTGTTGTTATTTTTTAATAATTTCTTTAGAATTTACTAAATTCAAATTAAAAATAAAATTTAATCAAAGTCAATGAAAACTTTGTTAACCTTTTAGGCCGAAGTGTTTCTGGTTTTGATTACACTTGTATAATCTATATTGTAGAGCTAGTAATATAAGCCAAAGAGTAAATATTTATTGTGACATCATCACAATGCCGGGCTATAATTTCTAATCATATTCTTGACTTATTTAATTTAAAATATATTATCTCTATCTCAAATTTATAGTCTCATGATCCTTTACCTCATACTTTCCTAATAACAACAGTGTTATACCGGTCATCTATGTAACTCTATTCGGGAAAAATGTTTGAATTGAAACCACGTAACTCCCAATCTAGACCGGAAGTTCGTATATAGTTAATCGGGGATGCCTGTCTCTAAGCTTTCCATATATACTCTCGACTTTCTTCTATTTAACACTATTCTCGAGATTAAGGAAGGACAGATAGACACACGACAGTGGGAATTTATAGGTCTACAAATTTTCAAATTGCAACCCAATGACTAGTAATAGGCCCACCAGTGGCCGAGCGATCTTCGTACCATGAACACTGGGGAACTCCCAGTGTTCATGGTACGAAGACCGCTCGGCCACTGGTGGGCCTATTACTGGTGGGTCGTGGGTTTGTGCTTTGCTCAGATGGGTTGGCCACGTGGAGTTTTCCTTAAAAAGACGTCCCGGAAGGCATCCCTCTAGGCAGATCGCCCATGTGCTGCATTGCCATAACTAAAACTAAACAAACTAGACTAGTAATTGATATAAGTAAAAAATTATGGAATTAATGAAATTTTAAATAAATGGTTATTGTTTCCTTATCTTGAAAAGAGTGAAAGATACTGAAAAATCACTCAATCACATCTTAAATAAGGATTCAATGATGTAATGTAATGTAGTGTGTATATGTGTATGAACAACGTAATTACAAAAAAAAAAAATGTATAAATTTACATCACTTTAAAATTTCTTACAAAATTATTATTAGTTTCAATTCAAATATGATTTTTATAAAATTGTATTTTATAATATTTTTAATTAACAAAAAATAAATACAAATACTATAAATAACAATACAATATATTATTTAACATTAACAAAACGGAACGAAATAACAAAAATCAAAATTAAATTTCAGACCTTAAATTTTGCTTTTCCATTGAAGAAATAAATTCTAAAATTTTAATAATTGCCAAAGCGGAAAACTTTCAATGCTAAATCACATTCGATTGGTTTCCGCACTGCAAAGAGTAATTGTGAAACCGGCTTGAGAGAACCATATACTCGTATATCCGGGACAGACCACCCATGAAGAATTCCTGAGGTTCTTAGACTCGAAACCGACTCCTTAGAGAGACATGCTAATACTTGTACTTCCCGGTCATCTTAAAATATCATTTAAAAATCTTTGTTTTCAATTAAATAGATATCTCGAGACCATTAAGTTCATTTCCGGAAATTTATCTCCTCTATCAGTTCATACGTCCGTATATCTCATTAGCCGGTTAATTGTAAATAATTATTTTATTTATATCGCGAGTTAATCGCCTAAAAAATAACAAGTAGCAAAATTAATAAGAACGTTCCTATTTATCAGAGGATATTTATATTTTTACTGTAATTTGAATGCATATAAGAACACCCTTTCTTATTAGTGTTCAAGGAATTACCCAAAGAGTAGACTACTGTATTTCAATTAATTCTCATCAAACAAGACACCAATGAATTGAAACAAAATACCTATACCATGTATTTATTAATAATTAAATAACAACAGTAACAGAAAATCACATGTTAAATAACAACAGTAACAGAAAATCACATGTTAATATCATGACTATTATATTGTGTAGTGATGGGTAGTGAAAGGAAATAATCGATTAACACAGAAACCGATATTCGATTTAATCGATATATGCTGCCAAAAGTATTGTTTAATCGATTTATCCTATTAAAAAACAGATGTAATTAAGTTACCATCTTTAAGTTACCATAAGACTTTTACTTTGAAAATGTTATTTTAACATATGCTACAGCTAAGAATTTTCTCTTAAAACTTCAAATTTTTTACTATTATTAATTTCTTTTGTAAAAAATGACGGGTTGTTGCCTAGAGATAGGTTGGAAAATGGTTACGTAATGAAGACTTTTCCAAAAATTCCAGTTCGTACAAAAATTTATGCTGCTTTAGTGAAAAGAGAAGGATGCTTTTTCCACTGATAAATCTGCTCTATGTGAAGTAAAATTTGTATTTCACATATTTTTTTTTTTACAGGTGATGGTGGCTGGTAAATCTTATATTTATTAATTATAACTATTCCATTACATTCAGGTTCTCTTTTCTCCGAGTTGGATGGCACAGAAGATGGCAAGCGGAAATTAAAATGTGACGCTGTTCCCATATTGTTTATTCACCGTAAACTACCAAAGGAAAGAAAACCATCTAAGGAAAGCTATATCCATAAAAAATAATGATATATAGAAATCTAAGAATATTGAATATACTATTGGGTTCAAAATGTTCAGTACAAGTATGCATCAAAATACACGACGATGCAACTTGCTATTCAAAAACCCCATCTGCGGAAGCAGCGTGATAGAATCTCGAAGGCCTGAAATTTTACGTAGTTATGGATGACGAGTTCTATTTCACTTTTGACGGAAGTAAATGTGCTAGTAACAATTAGAAGAACTAGATGTAGATCCTGAAGTTAAATACAAACGACACTCCAAGTTTTCTCCAAGGCTTCTGGTTTGGCTGGCTATTAATCGAAAGGGATGTTTAAGGGATGGGCTTTCATTGCTCCATCACTGCTCTTCATCACCGAAGAAGTATAGGGCAAAGTGTATTCAGAAGTAAGTAGTTTCTTTCCTAAATTTCTTTAGGAAGGGTACTTGCCTCTTCTGAAATACTAACTTGACCAAGAATGTGTTTTCTAACCGGACATGGCCACCACCCATTGTGTTCATGACACAATTGTCAAACTGAAGAGATTTTGATATCAACGAAAGAAAAATGTTTGTGAAAATGGTTGATAAGCTGCATTCTCCAATGAGCACAAAAGTTGTAATTGCGCTGATTTGTAGAATAAACGTTCTTATTATCGCATGTTTTAATGCGATAATAAATATAATTGATTATTTGGATTGATTATTTAATTATTGGTTGTTTTAAACTAATAATTAAATAATCAATACAAAAAAAAACAATTATAGTTTATTGACTTTATTCTAATGTATAATTTTCTTACTAGGTCTATATATAGAGTGTCATTTAAAATAATAAATAAAAGATTTAATAAAATTGCGACTATAAAGATATATTTATTAATTTCTAATTTTTTAATTTATAATTTAAAAGTCTCCGAGGTTTCAAAATGTTCCTTACGCATTTGTAATGGAAGAAGTAAGAGTGTTTTATAAAATAATTTTACAGTTAATTTACATTATATTTATTAAATTTTCTAATTAAATATAGATGACACCTGTTGGAACAACTGTTTATAGAGGAATCCTTGTCACAGATGCTGATATTGGTACAAATGCTGAAATCAAGTTGTCTTGTAGAGATGATATTGTGAGATATTCGAATAGTAATAATTAGAAAAATATATTTTCATACATTGTATCAACATATCTAATAAAAATTTTTAAATTCTGCTTTTTTTTTAAATTAAATTGTTCAATATGGAGAATATTATATGACACATATTGAATTAATGAAATACAATCAGCAAAAAGACGGAGAGAGGAATAGACTAATGAAAGTTTATTGGAAATCAAACTGAAACTCTACTGGAGGCAATACAGGTTCGATCGTCTTCCTGTCCACAATATAAAAAAACAAAAATTCAGCCGTAAAAATGAATATAGTCAGTTTAACAGTTGCAACTCGTATAACATTAACTGGAGTTTGTGTAACACGTACTGTACAGTTGTATATAGATTCGATAGTAGCATTTACAGGACAATAAAATGACAAATCTAAATTTGTCAAGCTACTTTCACCGCCTTACACGACCGGAATTTGCGTGCTGCAAACGAAACCGGTTCTACCAGAGTAACAACTTGACCCGACCAGGTATTGACCGATTGTTTTCGTCATCTTGGAACTTTGTCAGCCACAAGACACATACTCGATCAAGATCTGCCTTTTCTATCGTGTAAGTTTACTTTATTCTATAATTTTCTTAAACTTCGATCTTTGAGAAAGTTTTACTTTCTAACTAACTTGAGCGTATCGAATCGTTGGAGTGAATCAATGTTACAATGACATTCATCAATATTATTTCTTGAAAGAAACCAAACTTCTCCGTCTTAAATTATTTTAAAATTAATATTTAAATTGTAAATCTATTCAGTCTTAATATTAAACATTTAAATTGATTTTTTTTATGCCTTTCTCGAGTAATTTTGTTAAAGAATGCTGTTTAAATCCCGGAGGCAGCAGCTTGTATACTCCAAACAATACCTTTACTCATTACATTACCTAAAGAAATGCTTTCTTTATACGTTCATGCGTGACACGATATCTATTTATAGCCATTAATATAAATTCTATATCTACTACGATTCGGTTTCCTTCACTCGAATATCTTTTCTATGCGATTCATTATTTTCTTCTACATTTAATGACCTACACTAATACAAAAGTTACGAACAATAAACTGACCTTCAATACTTGATAAGTGTGGCGTGCGAACACCGCAACGAGACCTCTTAAAAACAATTATATCAAACAAGTTTCGTGAAAATTCTTTCATATTTTCCTTAACCTCAGTTATGTCTGGGATCAAGCAGCCAAGCCGTATTAATAAATAATTTACTGTACTTTTTTTTTAGGATGGGAGCCGAGGAAATATTCTGATACAAGAAGTATGGGTGTGTTTTCTCTAGTTATTTACGTGGGCTTTTTAGGTAAGTGGTTTGCAACCACAGTTTTTTATTCATTTATTTTTTTTCTTATTTTCATTTATGCAATTTTTGTTTTTTCTATATTGAAAGGAGGATGTTGGGGACAGATCAATCGAGCACCTGTGTTTCTTCCTGGAGGTGACATGAGTCGGTTTTCACTCAGGGAAGACACTCCTGTTGGTAAGTGACAGATAAATTTATTACATTATAATGTTGTAATGCTACAATACAATTTATTTTAAATAAAATTGAAATAAACTTTCAGATTTCAAGTCAGTCTTTAATCTCAAAATCTTAAAATATCTTGCTATATTTCTGAGTTGTCTGATGTAATTGGAGAGGACTTGCTATATAAAAATTAGGATATTTATAATGTTATTTGGCATTTAATATGTTACTAATAATATGTTTTTGAATTTTATCCTGTTTTAGCTACTGTTCAAAGTAATTTTCTTTAATCCTTAAGGAAGAATATTAAGAATGGATTTATACAATGATATTGTTTGCAACCCAATTTTAGAAATGTAGGACCTAAGTTATTTATGAATTTTATATTCAATTAATCTTTTGTAAATTTTATAATTTAAAATTATGCAGTAATACAGTTTTTCTATTATGATAGAAAGTTTATCTTTTTTTCTTTAAAGTTTTTTTTTTATTCAAAATTTTCCTTTATCAAACTGTATGTAAAAAGTAATAAATCTACTGTTGGCATTGATATGTTTTTATAACAAGTTGTAAGTTAATGTTTGCATATTTTTAAGGTTACTTTTCCTGAAGTAATTATATCGAGGTCAGATAAAATCATTGAAAACTACTTATCAGGAAAAAAATGACATAAAAATGAATCATCATCAGAATATCAAATAACTAATACAACTGAATAAATATATTTGGATTGTTTTTTTTAAATTAATATGAAGTTTTTATTTTAGGTTCTTCTGTCTACACTCTTCGTGGTCGCGATCCAGAAAATACCAGAGTTTACTATTATATTAGTGGAGGAAGTTTCAGTGTGAATAAAGATACAGGTGTGGTGCATTTAATCAGACCACTAGATCGAGAAATTGAGAGTTCTATTGATGTCATTATCAGCATTACAGATGAAAAGGTCCAGGGTCAAGACCCCAACACTGTAAGCATTTATTTTATTGAAATTAATTAAAATATTGTAGATAGTTTATTATTAAACATTAAATTTGTACCTTTTAGATCTCTTTAAAACGTGAAATTACAGTTCTTGATCAGAATGACAATCCTCCGAGGTTTCAAAATGTTCCTTACGCATTTGTAATGGAAGAAGTAAGAGTGTTTTATAAAATAATTTTACAGTTAATTTACATTATATTTATTAAATTTTCTAATTAAATATAGATGACACCTGTTGGAACAACTGTTTATAGAGGAATCCTTGTCACAGATGCTGATATTGGTACAAATGCTGAAATCAAGTTGTCTTGTAGAGATGATATTGTGAGATATTCGAATAGTAATAATTAGAAAAATATATTTTCATACATTGTATCAACATATCTAATAAAAATTTTTAAATTTTAAAGACTCCTGATGCTTGCCAGAAATTTGAAATTCAGGGATTTGAAATAAGTGCTGGAAATTACAGAGGTGAGATTGTACTCAAAGAAAATGTAGATTATGAAGAAAAGTCTACATACACCATGATAATTATGGCTGAGGTAAGAGTAATTTCATTTTAAAAAATAAAAGTTTATTTAATAGAAATTGCTAAATTATTCTGTATTTTAGGATTTGTCTTTACACGGCAGATTGAATTCAACTGTAAATGTTATTGTAGAGATTAAAGATATTCAAGATCAGTCTCCTGTATTCCACAATGCTCCATATTCTGCCACTGTGTCAGAAAATAGTCTTCCTGTAAAATATATTTAAAATATTTTATTTAAAATGAATATTTTAACTAAGATAATCATAAATTTATTATTATTTGTGCTGATTTAGGGTACTTCAGTTNCAGAATCACAGACTAGACAACACATTCATTGATGAATGAAATAAAATTACATTTATCATAAACATATATACTTGTAGATTCCAAACAGCCACAGCAAACAAAATTCCTACATTGAAAAAGAATAATAAATATTCAAAAAGTAAAGCATTTGTGGAGAACTGATAGGATACTTATTATGTCTTTTAAACATACATCATCCTACATATAAAAAAGTCTAGAAATCACCAATCATGTCACCAATGGCAAATATTCTTTTCACATTAGCTTTATATTGTTATTTACTCAAATGAAATACAGTATTAAGCTTTAATATCACAATGTCACATTAATACTGGAGTTACCATACTGAACATTAATTAAGAATTTCCTGATTACATAATACAAAATACATACACCAACAGTACACAAATAAAATAAAAGGGTTACTGTTATTTTATTTGTGCACTGTTTAGTAGCTCTGCTTTGACCTTGATCCTAGCTTAGTACTAGACATCAGTATCAAGTAGAACACAACCTAACAAACAAATTATAATCCTTATTGTTTTAGTTCCATATTTTCATAAAGTTAAGAAAAGAATATATGTTTAATGAAGTAGTTTGTACACGTTTAGGATAATAACAATTAAAAATATTTTAAAATAGGAATTATTTCTTGTTATAATAATAGTTTTAAAGGGCTAGCATGAACTTTTGTGGCTCTTGCTTCTGGAGAACATGCTAAACCTGCCTTGTCCTGAGTTTTAATTAACTTTAATCTTCTTTCATTTTTTTAGGATATTTCTCAGTTGATTTTGAAAGTGGTGTTGTATCTGTTATAAGAGCTCTAACTGGGAAAGGAAGGGAAGAACCTTACTCAATAATAATTAGAGCTACTGATAAAGGTATTCCTGCCAAATATACAGATGTGGAGGTTCTGGTAATTGTTAGTGATGTGTCTACTAATGATGGAATTCCTCAATTCATTCGTCCTGCTTCGGGAGAAGTTGCTTATATACATGAGGTAATTATGTCTTTTTTTTATTCAAACAAAATGAATTACTATTAATTGAGTCTTGTTGTTACAGAATGCTACTTTGGGTACACCTGTGTTTCAAGTTGTAGCTTTTGACCCAGATAATCCAAACACTGCCAATGGCAAAGTTTCATACAGATTTTTGGATGATCATACAAACTCTATTGATGGTGATTTTGCATTTGCAATTGACAGTGCTACAGGAGTAATTAGCACACAGCAACTATTAGACAGGGAAACAAAAGAAAATTATACAGTGAGTTTTTAAATTATTTATATTTATTAATCCTGTAATGATTTTTAATATTTGACAAAAGCAATATTATTTTTAGATAATTGTTGTTGCTTATGATTATGGCTTTCCTCCACAAGAAGCTCATCGGGTTCTTCGAGTGTATATTCTTGATGTAGATGACAATGATCCTCATTTCAATAGACCCATCGTAAGTTAATTATATTATTGTATCATTTTGCAGTTTAAAATAATTAATAATTATAAATTATTATTTTTCAATTTAGAAATCTCAACCCATAGATATAAAAGTAAAAGAAGAACAGCCTATAGGAACAGTAATAGGATCTTTACAGGGAATAGATGAGGACGTTGGAATTAATGCAATTATGGATTATTTTATAATAGGTAAAGATAATGTTTGTAATATTGATGTCAGGATGATGAAATAGTAAATAGTTTACCTTTTATTTAAGATGGTAATGAGCAAGATGTTTTTGGAGTAAGAAGAAACAATGAAAGTAAAGGAGAAATTTATATCAATAAACATATAGATCGAGAAAAACAAAATAAATATTTATTAACAATTAAAGTCAGTAAACCATCANGTTCAGTTATTCTGACTTATAATAACAATGTTTCTGTATTTACATGTCTTCAGAAGCATTTTTCTGTAGACAGAAATATTTCACTGAAAGATTCATAAAATGTGTTCAGAGCAGTGTAATGTGTTATCCGTCAGCATAGGTTGATACTGATTGAATTGAATTGAAGTATGTCTAATGTTCTGTTTGTGTACCTCCCATGATCAGAACTTCTAAAATGTGTTTTCTATCAGTCCTTAGAATATCTTTTAAATTCAGGATATCTCTCAGCTGAAATATGTTTGTTAAAATTGTGAAATGAACATCTCTATTGGTCATTTTTACTTTGAATTCTTCTATCTGCATATCTAATAAAAATTTTTAAATTTTAAAGACTCCTGATGCTTGCCAGAAATTTGAAATTCAGGGATTTGAAATAAGTGCTGGAAATTACAGAGGTGAGATTGTACTCAAAGAAAATGTAGATTATGAAGAAAAGTCTACATACACCATGATAATTATGGCTGAGGTAAGAGTAATTTCATTTTAAAAAATAAAAGTTTATTTAATAGAAATTGCTAAATTATTCTGTATTTTAGGATTTGTCTTTACACGGCAGATTGAATTCAACTGTAAATGTTATTGTAGAGATTAAAGATATTCAAGATCAGTCTCCTGTATTCCACAATGCTCCATATTCTGCCACTGTGTCAGAAAATAGTCTTCCTGTAAAATATATTTAAAATATTTTATTTAAAATGAATATTTTAACTAAGATAATCATAAATTTATTATTATTTGTGCTGATTTAGGGTACTTCAGTTTTAACCGTATCAGTTCATGATGGTGATATAGGAAATCCAAGACCATTAATTTTAATGACTCAACAAGGTATTTTTGGAACATAATGATAGCTTTAAATATTTTATATAGTTAATTTTTATAATTATTAAATAATTTATATAACTAATTTATCATTTATAATTATTTGACAGATAAAAAGAAATATTTCAGATTAAATAATCGAATCAATAATGGTCAGGGATTATATTCTGCCACATTAGAAACTTCAAATGTTCCAATTGATCGAGAAGATCCTGATATTTTGAATAATGGTGGATTGTATATTTTTCAAATAAAGGTAAATGTTAGTGTACTGTAAGAAACTAAAACAAACTATTACAAAATAAAATTTCTTTTAGGCAATAGAATTGATAAATGGAAGACCAATAGGGGATAGTGTTATTAGTAATGTTACAATTGTTGTTACTGATATAAATGATCAGCAGCCAGAATTTAATGAAAAACAGTTCAATGTAACAGTTTCAGAAGATATTAGTAATAATACTCCTCTTCCTGATTTGAATATGGTTGTTAGTGACATGGATGTGGTAAGATACTCTCCTTCTTCAAATATTTTTTTAATACAGAAATATGGTATTGATTTGTTAATTTTAGGGTGATAATGCAAAATTTTCACTTCATCTGGAAGATGTCTTGAATTCAAATGGGGTATTTTCAGTTTTCCCAACAACAGCTATTGGTAGAACTCCTGTAATCATTAAAGTAATTGATACAAGCAAACTTGATTATGAGCATTTAGACAAGCAAATGTTTATATTTCATGTGAGTTTGATAATTTTTAATATTAAGATCTAAGATTATTTTAAAATAGATTATAATGAAACTTTTTTAAAATGTATACATAAGGTTATAGCTTCTCAGCAAGGAATGGCATCAACTACTTCAACAGTTACAGTTCATCTTTCTGATGCTAATGATAATTCTCCCATATTCAAACATGAACAGTATGTTGTAAAAGTACCAGAAAATGCTCCAGCAAATGCTACTATTTTTAGTTTACAGGTTTGAATTATGAATGATTTCAAATTTTTACAAAATATTTTATGTATTTTAAAACACAAAATGATATATTTTAATAGGCACAAGATGCTGATAGTGGAATTTTTGGTAAGATAAAATATTCTATAAAAGGATTTGGCTCAGACAAGTAAGCACATTTTAAAATGCGTAAACTATTTTAAAATTTATGTCATAATAATGATGTAACTGTTTTTAACCCAGATTCAAAGTTGACACTGATAATGGACATATCAAAATTGCAAACTGTGGTAAGAAAACCTGTTTAGATTATGAAATGCAGAAGGACTATTCCCTGACTTATGAAGCAGAAGATGGTGGAGGAAAAGTATCATCAGTTAATTTATTTATTGAAGTATTAGATATAAATGATAATCCACCACAATTTTTGAAAGATGAATATATTTGTGAATTACAAGAAAATGCCAAAGAAATAATACCTCCTCTGTTTGTAAAGGTATTTTGAATTCATTTATTTAAAATTAAAAATGATATATTTAAAAAATTAGTTTTAATATCAAAAATTAATTTACAGGCCACAGATCTTGATAGTTCTAAACAAGATGGAGATAAAATTATATATTCTATAAAAGCAGAAAATACTACAGATCCAGTAATTTCTATTGATCCTACTACTGGACAAATTATGTTAAAACGCCCTATAAAATTTAGTGATACACCAAATAATTCTGGACTTTTATTTGTGATGATTCAAGCTAAAGATTATGGAAATCCACCTTTACTATCTGAAACTAGATTATTAATAAAGTTAAAGGTCAGAAAAGTGTTTCCTTATTAAATCAAAATAAATTAAAATTAAAATTCATTATATAATATATATATGCATATCTCATTAGAGAGAGAACGATGGAGCACCCTTGTTTCTAGGTGAACCATATAAAGTTTCAATTAAAGAAAATGCCCCTCAAGGCAAGTTGAATTATATACTCTTACATAATTTAGTATTTAAGGTGATAAATTTTATAATACATTTTATTTTTAATTATACAGATACAAGTGTAATTAAAATTGTTGCAACTGATCCTGATGGTCCTGATAATAAAATAACTTATGCTATAGAGAGTGGTGGAAAGGACAGTTTTGTTATTGATAGCAAAACTGGGATAATCAGAGTCATTTCAGGAGCTAATCTTGATCGTGACATTTATGGAACAGAATATAAATTAATAGTTAGTGATCTTTGTTTGTTGTTCTATCTGCATTTTTGAAGTCTTTTGTTATTTGAAATTTAAACATGGTTTTATTTTTAGGTTCATGCCATAGATGCTGGAAATGCACTTCAACAAACAGCTACTGCAACTGTAACCATTCTTATAGATGATGTTAATAATAAACCACCAAAATTTTTGAAAGACACTTATGTTCAATATATTCCTGAAAGTAAGTTACAGTATTAAAATTTTAATCATAATTAACAAATTCTAGTTAGATCACAAATTTAATTTGTCTTTTCAGATTTGAATATAGGTGAGGAAGTCATAAATGTTACTGCCATAGATCCAGATAAAGATGCTAAATTGCGCTACTCTATAATTGAACCCATAATTGCTAGAGATAAAACTGGATCCGTTGTGTCATCAACAGATCCATTTAATTATAAAGTAAGCATTACAAATTTTCAAATGATTTATAGAATATTATTATTTTTATAAAATATATTTATATTTTGTACTGTAGAATGTTTTTAGAATTGATGGAACAACTGGACAAATAACTATAAATAGTCTTTTAGACTATAGTGCTGCTTCTGTAATTATTCTTACTGCTCAAGTTATAGATCTTAATGCTGTTGTAGGAACTGAACAAAAAGCAACAGGTATCTTTTTAATCAATTATATTGTTTAGTGTTTTAGCTACTATTTAATATCTCTGTATTATTTATATTATCCTTTATTGAGGCAAATAATACTGAAATTTTATTGAATAGAAAAATAAATTTTGCATATTTTAATAATAAATTTTTTTATTAGTTGAAGTCACAGTTTATGTTCAAGTTCACAATGAAATGGTACCAATATTTGCACCTCCATGGACTCCTTCAAATCCAAAAATTGATATCACAGTGCCTGAAGAAACTTTGATTGGTTCTACTTTGCTAACGCTTGCAGCTTATGATCCTTTAGCACACCAAGCTATAAACCATTTTGAGAAAGTTTCAAATTCTGATTCAAACAATTATGTTTCTGTTAGTCCTATTTCAGGTATATTTTTTTGTTCTTCTTTAATATATTTAGTATTAAAATAAATATTAAATAAGTTAAAATTTAAATTCAGGCTTGGTGACCCTTAATCATCGGCTGGATTTTGAAGAATTACCATTAAAATATATTACATTTCAAGTAAAGGCTATCAATGGAGATGATGGAAATGAACGTTTTAGCACAGCAACAGTTGTTGTAAATGTTCAAGATGTTAATGACAACAGCCCTGTATTTTCTCAAGATGTAAGTGTATGAAATAATTTTTAATGTTAATAAATAATAATTAATAATAATTTATTTTGCAGTCATATAAAACAACTGTCTCAGAATCTGCAACATATCCTCATACACTACTAACAGTCCTTGCATCTGACAAAGATTCTGGTGAATTTGGAAATATTGAATATTCTGTATCAGGAGATGGTAGTGATGTTTTTGATATTGATAAAAAATCAGTAAGTTAATTTTAATGTTATAAATAATCTGAATGATTAAATTAAACTAAAATTTTATTAATTTTAATTAAAATAGGGCACAATACAAATTCGTGAAAATATAACACTTGATAGAGAAAAACAGGCATCTTATAATCTTCAAGTTATTGCTAATGATAGTCCAAATATAATAGCTAATCAAAGAAGAACATCAGTTTTGGTATATATATTTTGATTAGATTTTGTTTTTATATTTGATGCAACTTAATTTTTAATAATAAGTCTATATTATAGGTGGTAATATCATTATTGGATGTGAATGACAATGCTCCTGTCTTTAGTCAACCATTATATACTGCAGTGGTGCCTGAAAATGTGCCAACAGATTTTAGCATTATAACCGTTAAAGCCACTGATGCAGATGAAGGAAGAAATAAAGAAATACAATACACAATTGTAGAAGATATGATTTCTGAACCTGTAGGTAAGTAATCAAGAATAATTTTATGATTACAATCATAAAGATAACAATTTTCAAAATATTAGAAACAAAAATTATTCTTGGAAATTAATTAACTCTTCAATAAAGCCTCAAATTATAGTAATCAAAAATTTTCAAAATATCAGTATAGTAAAGACTTAACAGTCAATATTTGTAAATTAGAAGAAGAGTAAATTTCAATTTTATAATATATTTTTACAAGTACAAGTAGGAAAACTTATTTATATGCAATATTATAATACAAGAAATTAAATTGGGATATTATCTTAATATCTTAATTTATGAACATATTTTCTTTTATGTTATTTTGTTATGGCTATATTATTAAAATTTGTTAAGAATGGAAAATAAACTAAATTACATTTAAAAATTTATAATAAAAATTGAATTATGTTTTCTCTTTTATGTTATTTCTTTATATTTGCTTCATTAAAAAACAGTTATAAAAAGGTTTAGAAACGTTATTTGGAAATAAAATGCTATCAAGACTATGTATTAATTTACAGTAGACTCCCCTATAATACTGTAGATAATTCCATGTTATATGAATTCCATGTTGTACGAGTCATTTCGATTTTACAAATACATGAGCCGCTCACAGTCCGGCACACGTATTTGTAAAATCTAAGTGACTCGTACAACATGGAATTCATATAACACGGAATTATCTACAGTGTTATAGGGGGGTCTACTGTACTTTCACGCTATGGAGAGTTTAGGCAGTAAGTTGAGTTTACTATCGTCTGTACAGTATATAGGCCTANATTACAGTATTTATGTAAACAATGATATTGACTTACATAAATACTGTAATCTAATATTACATTAGGAATAAAAGCAAACTTATTATACATATATTTTAAGTTTTTAATATTTTTAATTTTAATTTAGATTTTAGATAATGTTTGTTGCTTACGAAATATTACTATAAATGATATTTTATTATTCAAAATTTGAATTTCTCAAAGTGTACATTTAAAAAGTTCAAAAGGTCATGACATAATTTATTGTAATAATTATATGTTTTTATAAATTATATAATGTTTTCTATAATAAAAACATAATACTTAACCTCCTATTTTAAAAATAACCATGATAACAATTTGTAGAAAATTCACAAAAAATTAAAAAACATTACTAACATAAATAAAGTGTCTTCATACTTTATCTTAGTTAACAATAACAAAGTATCAAGACACTTTATTGAAATCTTGAAAAAAGCTTAAAATTTTTCTAAATATTTATCAGTTTTAATATTCATTGAAAAAGTGCACTCTTTCTATCTCAAAAATTTACAAAAGTAAAAAGTAAGAACTACTGTAAAACAGAACATTTTAATGAAGTAGTTTGTACACGTTTAGGATAATAACAATTAAAAATATTTTAAAATAGGAATTATTTCTTGTTATAATAATAGTTTTAAAGGGCTAGCATGAACTTTTGTGGCTCTTGCTTCTGGAGAACATGCTAAACCTGCCTTGTCCTGAGTTTTAATTAACTTTAATCTTCTTTCATTTTTTTAGGATATTTCTCAGTTGATTTTGAAAGTGGTGTTGTATCTGTTATAAGAGCTCTAACTGGGAAAGGAAGGGAAGAACCTTACTCAATAATAATTAGAGCTACTGATAAAGGTATTCCTGCCAAATATACAGATGTGGAGGTTCTGGTAATTGTTAGTGATGTGTCTACTAATGATGGAATTCCTCAATTCATTCGTCCTGCTTCGGGAGAAGTTGCTTATATACATGAGGTAATTATGTCTTTTTTTTATTCAAACAAAATGAATTACTATTAATTGAGTCTTGTTGTTACAGAATGCTACTTTGGGTACACCTGTGTTTCAAGTTGTAGCTTTTGACCCAGATAATCCAAACACTGCCAATGGCAAAGTTTCATACAGATTTTTGGATGATCATACAAACTCTATTGATGGTGATTTTGCATTTGCAATTGACAGTGCTACAGGAGTAATTAGCACACAGCAACTATTAGACAGGGAAACAAAAGAAAATTATACAGTGAGTTTTTAAATTATTTATATTTATTAATCCTGTAATGATTTTTAATATTTGACAAAAGCAATATTATTTTTAGATAATTGTTGTTGCTTATGATTATGGCTTTCCTCCACAAGAAGCTCATCGGGTTCTTCGAGTGTATATTCTTGATGTAGATGACAATGATCCTCATTTCAATAGACCCATCGTAAGTTAATTATATTATTGTATCATTTTGCAGTTTAAAATAATTAATAATTATAAATTATTATTTTTCAATTTAGAAATCTCAACCCATAGATATAAAAGTAAAAGAAGAACAGCCTATAGGAACAGTAATAGGATCTTTACAGGGAATAGATGAGGACGTTGGAATTAATGCAATTATGGATTATTTTATAATAGGTAAAGATAATGTTTGTAATATTGATGTCAGGATGATGAAATAGTAAATAGTTTACCTTTTATTTAAGATGGTAATGAGCAAGATGTTTTTGGAGTAAGAAGAAACAATGAAAGTAAAGGAGAAATTTATATCAATAAACATATAGATCGAGAAAAACAAAATAAATATTTATTAACAATTAAAGTCAGTAAACCATCAAAACCTCCACATCCTTTACAAGATAAATATACTCCAGAAGATTTGTCACAAATTCAAGTAGCTGTAGACATTCAGGATATTGATGATAATCCTCCTTTGTTTGAAAAGGATCATTATATTGTAGGTAAGTGCAGAAAGTATTAGCAATAAATTAATATTACTAATATTCAGTCATATCATTTCATATAGTGTATGTACTATTCAGCTCATAATATAGTTGTTTCAGTAACTATGCTTGACCTTGGTCCAGCAATCACTAAGCACCAATATCAGATAAGAAAGACAAGGTATACAACAAGACAACAACAATAATAATAATAAATTATAATTATTGTTATTATTATTAAACAGTCTTAAAGAGGATCACCGGTCTTGCATAGGAGGATTGATGATTGCATGGGTTAAGTGATTGGTTACAATACAAAAAGTAATCAGGATCTGACACCAACTAGTCTGACAATGTTTATAGTCATATATGTGGCACTGTGAGGTTTATACAAGCAAGAAAACAGAGATAGTATGTTCTATAATACAGTATTAGAAGAGACAGTGCACACAATAGTTTCATGCACATGATTTAATTTTTGCAGTTAAATTTTACAAAAATATCAGTGGAGAGAAAAAGGATGCTGTTTAGGTTTAAAGGGAATTAAGTTGATGAAAAATTAATGTAGTCATTGTAGAAGCCCAAAATGAAAACAAGAAAATTTGATAAAAACTCCTGTCTATCAGTTTAATCAGTGTCAAAAATGTCCTGTCTATCAGCTAATTGAATATTTGGAGCAGAGGTCTGAAATTCCCATTTGCCAATAGGCATAATAAAGTTTGCACTGTTTGGTTAAAGCCCAGGAGAAAACATCTATTAAAGATTAAGTAAAGGTTCAGACATTCAAATTTTTTATTTTCAATTTCAGTAATAGAGTTTTCATTTTGCAGGCTTTCTCTTCTTACAAGTGTTTGAAAAGAATAAAGTTTGCTAATTCAATAATAACTATTTCATTTATCTATTATTTAGAAAAGAATGACATCTAAAATTGAGAAATTAAAATTTGTGACTGCACAAATTTAGTCTGGAAACTCAGATAAACAAACTATACTACAGCTGAGTCAGAATCACAGACTAGACAACACATTCATTGATGAATGAAATAAAATTACATTTATCATAAACATATATACTTGTAGATTCCAAACAGCCACAGCAAACAAAATTCCTACATTGAAAAAGAATAATAAATATTCAAAAAGTAAAGCATTTGTGGAGAACTGATAGGATACTTATTATGTCTTTTAAACATACATCATCCTACATATAAAAAAGTCTAGAAATCACCAATCATGTCACCAATGGCAAATATTCTTTTCACATTAGCTTTATATTGTTATTTACTCAAATGAAATACAGTATTAAGCTTTAATATCACAATGTCACATTAATACTGGAGTTACCATACTGAACATTAATTAAGAATTTCCTGATTACATAATACAAAATACATACACCAACAGTACACAAATAAAATAAAAGGGTTACTGTTATTTTATTTGTGCACTGTTTAGTAGCTCTGCTTTGACCTTGATCCTAGCTTAGTACTAGACATCAGTATCAAGTAGAACACAACCTAACAAACAAATTATAATCCTTATTGTTTTAGTTCCATATTTTCATAAAGTTAAGAAAAGAATATATGAATTATTATAAGATTTGTAATGAAAATAAAAAATAAAAATTTTAAAGTGTTATAATTTATGCAATGTTCTATTAATATATAGCAATCATAGTAAACTATATATTTTGATGATATATTTTAAAATTTTTAGATTTTGTAATAATGTACATAAATAATTTAATAATAAATTAAAGCTAAAAATAAATAAATCTTTTTGTACATAATAAGAATGCTTAAGGATAGTGAATATATTGACTCAAATCTTTATTGTCAATATAAGAGAAAGTGGTAATGCATTTACACTTGCTCATTTATTCCCAATTATTATTGGAGAGGAGCTAAGGTTCATATGAAAATGCTATGAATTTGTCTTAATAAGTAACAAAATTTTCTTCAGATCCAGAGTAGAGCAAGCAAGCTGTCAAGAAAATTTTGTTTCTTATTAAGACAAATCCATCTACAGCATTTTCATATGGATCTTAGCTCTATAACAAATTTAAAGATCAGTTCTTTATTTTATTAATTTTATGTGTTATTATTCTACTGAATAATAAGTTTTAAATATCAAATCTTTAATTACCTTGAAAATTTATTGTTGAAATTTGCATTGGTCTTAATTTTTATTCAGGTGTTCGAGAAAGTACCGAAGTAGATGCAGAATTGGTTACAGTGAAAGCAAGTGATCCAGATTCATCTTCTGGACCTGTTATGTACAGTATTAAAAATGTGACTTATTTCAGAGTAAGATTTTCTATCATGAACTATCTGAAATTAATAAAAAGAAATACAGTTGTAATAAAAATTATTGATAAAATATTTTAGTCTTCAAAGAAAGAAGTTAAAATAACCAATGATAATTTTGTGATCAACCCAAGTACTGGAAAATTAAATGCTAATCAAGGATTTCAGAGTTTTGTAAATGGATACTTTGATATATTAATAGAAGCAAGGAGTGGACCAGGTAGAAAGAATGTTGCATATGCTCATGTTAAGGTAAAACTTTTCTTATCAATAATTAATTTATCAAATAAAATTTTAAATTGCTGATTATACGCTTCTAGGTGTATGTTTTATATGACGGAGACTTACTAAAATTTGTATTTGATAAAAGACCAGATGAAGTTCGAAATAATATTCCACAATTCAAAAAGTATCAGTGCAGTTTAATAAATTATAATTTAAGCTACGACTATAACTTACTGATATGTTTCTTCATTAAATATTATTTTCAGAGATTTAGAAACAGCTATAACGGAACCTTTAACACTAAATATATATGATACTCAATTTTATAGTAGATCTGATGGAAGTTTAGATTTTGAAAGGTAATTTCTTCTCTTTAAATTATTTATTTTAAAATAATATATATATATTCTAAAACAATTACATTAATGAATCAGAAAACAAGATTTTTTTAAATATTTACATATAAATATTTTCTTATTATCAGTACGAGTTCCTGCTTTCAGTTATTAGAAAAAGATGATATTGTTGATCCTAAACGGGTTATGGATATTTTAAATGCTAAAAAATCTGCTGAAGTTGAAAAACTCTATAAAATGTATAAGATTGTGAGCATTGAAGTGAGTGTCTTACATAATTTTTTCTAAGTCGAAATGAAATTCGTACAGAATTATACAGATATTTTCCTGTCTATAGCAATGTATTCCGAGTAAGGAAGATTATAGAATGACATGGAGTGAGGTAAGCGTACTTGTTGTTGCAGCGCTTATTGCAGTATCCGCATTTGTTGTAACTGTTATCATTTGCATAATGTATTCACGGTAAGTTAGTTTTCCTATTTACAAGTTAATTTTATTTAATAATAATAATAATAATAATACTGTACTAATAAGATATATAACTTAAATTTTTAGGTATAAAAAGAAGATTAGACTTATGTATTGTAAGTATTATATATGTTACTATTATTGTTATTTGATATAAAAATCCTTAATTATTTATTTATTTATTTTTTGTATAGATCACAACATGATTGTTGGTGAACAAAGGTAAAATTTTAATAATTCTATTATATTATTTTTGATGTATTAAAATTTAATATAAATTCTGTTTTTAGTGGTCCTTTGTCAACACTTAGTCCTGCAGAGTAAGTACTTATTTAATGCTGAGGAAAGTTCTGATATAAATGAAATTTTTAATATTGATTTTTAAAATTTTTTTCTACAGACAACAGAGGATATATGAGTGGCAAGAAATGAATACACCAATGGCTGATGCAGCATCTTTCAGGAGCTATCCAACTCTGAGATAGTTGAGCTATAATTCTAATTTTAAGTTGTTTAATTCTGCTACTAAAGATATAAAGCCATCTAATTTTGAATGAATTTTCCATTCTAAGTGATTAACTTATCAAAACCAATGATTTTTTACATTGGAAGAAATGGTAGTCATTCGGTACTGATACTACTTAACATAATTTATGTATTGTTTATACATTAAATAATCATCTAGTCAATTATTAATGACCTAAATGGAATCATTAAAATGGCTCTTAAACATTCAAATTCAAATTATAAAAAAAAAATTAGCAAATTTTGTTAGTTAACAGATGTTTTTATGTATTAATATCTAATGAATTTGTATAAAAAATTATAACAAATTATGTAAATTATTTTTTCACCTATAAATTTTAATCATCTGTATATTCATCATTATAATTATCATTGCTAAATGATGATGTATGTTGTCGTATAACTAATTTATCAATAAAAAATATATATATATAAACAAATTAATACCTGTTTTAATTCATAAAAATAGGTCATTTCAGTAAAGATACATTCCATTCAAAAAAACTTGTGTTTAATTTAGGTCAAATTTATATATATTCAGAGAGAGTGTAAGAAAGATTAACTTTGATGTCAACAATGTGAAAGTTGCTTATGTAGTTACCTATATAAGAAAGGTAACTTACTGTTCTTTCGCACTAATATTCTGAGAAAAAAGTAGATGCTACCTGTACCTGTAAAGATACAGTAGAACTTGTTTTACGGGATGTTGCATTTTTATAAAGTTTTATGAATAACTAGCTCAACAAAACTTATTTACTTCAGAATCTTAAATAGCATAGGAAAGTCATCGTTAAGAGATTTACTACATAGAAAATTTTTAATTTATATTTTGCATGATTTACACAAGTAATATAGTTGAATATTTTTGTTTGTATATCATCCAGCTAATTAAACAATAGATATTATTCGACGCTCCGCATCCTTGGCCTTAATAATTTAAACAGAATTTGTCCTTGGCAGGATACCAAAATCATTAAAAATCATCTTTCTACCTACATTTCTCATTCAAGACAATACAGGTGAGGTATTGCCTTTTTACTTTTGCTTTTTCATGAACTTTCATTGACGATTTCTTCTTTGATATTCGTAGATGATGCGTTTAAATATGTATTTTTTTCTATTACCATTTTTTGTGTTCGTGAAGATTGTTAAAACAGATTATTTTACCTCTGTTGTGGGATTAGAGAAACTGTTACACTCCAAAATAGAAGTTGTTAAGGCTATAGAAGATTATTTAACGGCGGAGGAGGATAGATTAAGAATGATTAAGTTGTAAGTTTAGTTAATATTTTTAAGAAAATAATAAAAAATTTTTAATTATTTTGTATTATGTGTTTAGTAAGAAGGAGGAATTTAGAACATTCATAGAAAAAGCGGCTCCAAATTGGGAAGAATTTCTACAAAATCCAGTTAATGCGTATTTGTTAGTTAAACGCTTAAATATTGACTGGAAGAATCTTGAACAATTAATGATAAATTCCAGAAATGGTAAGCATATTTAATAACGATTCAGTATTAAAAATTAAGGTTTTTTTTCAAACGTTAATGCAAATAGACCCTGTAAGGTAGCAAAAAAAAAACGTTTTGCATACGGTCAGTTTGTATAATATACGTATTAAATTGCACATATTCCTATTAATACTATTATTTTTTCCTCTAAATATTATCGTAAATTATCTTAAAATTAATTTTGCTTTATTGAATTTATATATATATATATAGGCCCTATATATCCCATTTTTAACAACGTATAACGCGCATAAAATATATAGCTGTAAAGTAACTTAGAACTGATTAATAATTTGAATGTTATGACTATTTAATAGACGATTCTATTGACATTTTAAAGAAAAAGATAAGATTCCCAGACGATGATGATTTAGCTGGTGCCGCTGAAGGTCTTGTCAGGTTACAAAAAATGTACAAGTTAAATACCTCTTCTTTAGCAGATGGTTACATACTAAATAAATTTTCTTCGCAGAAATTAACAGGTAAATCAAATTGGCTCGATCTTATTTAATTTTTTTTCGAATGGTATATTCATGCATTGTAAACTAATATTCAGATATTTCGCCAAGCTGATGATTGTTTCGAAGTTGGAAGACATTCGTATAGTGTAGGAGATTTTTATTATACATGTTTATGGATGAGAGAAGCGTTGAGAAGATTGGATTCGGAGATTACGAAATCTACTAACAGAGAAGAATTATTGGAATTGTTAGCATATTCAACTTATATGGTATATAGATACATTTATTTCTTTAAATTAACTTTATTGTCTATTAATAAAAAGACATTTTTTTATTTAGAAAGGAGATATTGAAGAAGCTTTAAAGTATACTCTTCAACTATTAGAGATCGGTTTGTAGCTATTACTTACTAATGAATTTTGTATGTAGGCCCATCTATAGAACTGTTTATGTCTATTTTAGCTCCTGAAAATCCCCGTGCACAAAATAACAAACAATATTTCGAAGTGTTACTTCTGAAGGATGAAATTCAAAGTACGAAGAAAATAGAAGAAAATTTGGTTTGTGATTCCGAATACGAAAAATACCAAAAATTAACTGAAAAGTTATGCAGAGGAGAAAAAAATTTGGTTAGTTGTATTTTTAATTCTTTATAATTTTTGTCTTCTTTTCAACTTATTCAATTGACTTGATAAAGTGTAAACATAATTTCAGGAGTGAGTTAAGAAAAAGTCAAACTGAATTCATTGAATAGTTTAATATGTTAGACTGTAACTTGTCTGTTTTTATTACCTAGTCAATTGAAGAACAAAGTAAGTTAAAGTGTAGATTATTCACTAACAATGATGGCTACTTGATCTTGCAACCTCTTAAAGAAGAAGAATTATACCTTCGTCCGAGGATCGTCGTTTATCACGATTTCATGACCGAAACAGAAATGGAAACAATTAAAAGATTAGCTAAACCAAACGTATGAATTTAACATCATTCTTATTTGTTCTAAAATATTCAATAATTAACAACTTGATGTAAATATTTTAGTTAAAAAGAGCTGCAGTAACATCAAGAGACGAGAGAGGAGAAGAATTTTCTAATACCAGGATCAGTAAAAGGTATAAAAACTTTATTAAACGTTCATTTTTATTCGAAATGGATACTATAATTGACTGAACTTGTTGAACAGTGCATGGCTTAAGGATTCCGATCATTCCATCGTTGATAAATTGAGCTTTAGGATACAATGTGCAACAGGACTTTCTCTTCTAACCGCAGAGGAATTACAAGTATTAAATTACGGCATAGGAGGACACTATGAAGCTCATTTTGATTATTCCCGAGTAAGTCATAAAGTCTGATTTATTAAATAGTTTAATTATTAAAATAAATAATTGAAGTCGAAACATTTTAGGAAGACGAAGCAATCAATAAACTTACTAAATACTATGGCGATAGAGTCGCAACATGGCTGAACTATGTGAGTAGGATTTAAATTTTATAGAGGTTCTCTTTGGCATATAAATTATCTAAAAATGGAAACTACTTTTTAAGTAAATAATTAATAATATTTTTTCATTTTTAAACAAATAGTTAAGCTTATTATTTTTTAAAAAGAAAATTAAAACTTTCCTTTTTGATTCTAAAATTAGATGAGTGACGTAGAAGCGGGTGGTGCAACTGTATTTCCAGAAATTGGTATTTCTGTTCAGCCCGAAAAGGTATTTATTATTATTTCTGTTTATAAAACGCCTTACTTTATTTAATATATTTATATTTTTTTATAGGGTTCGTCACTCCTATGGTATAATCTTCATAGCAATGGTACCGGAGACTATCGCACTCGTCACGCTGCTTGTCCTGTACTACTTGGTTCAAAATGGGGTAAATTCCTTATTGTATAAGAATTTCTACTTAATTAAATTAATTTTTAAAAACATTTTTTTTTTAATGTTTCAGTATCAAATAAATGGATACGTGAACGAGGACAGGAATTTAGAAGGCCTTGCTCGTTAAACAACGAATAAAAATATAATCATTTGTATTTTCTATCTATAAATGAAGAATTACACACCTATTTTGTGTGATTTTTAAGGGTGTTAACTACCATTATGTCACTGTGGGCGGAGAGATAGACCTTAAATGGGTTTATTGAACTCCGAAATATTTTCCTAAACTAAAAAAAAAAAAAATTAACTCATCTTGTTAAGATTTGCTTCTTATTTAGTATATGAAATTCTAGTTTTAAAAAATTCATCACGAACAAAATGTCACGCTATGTAACTTTGACTTAAATAGGACATAGGTCAAGGCGGAAGATGGTATATAACTCGTTTATTTACTTTATCTTTGAACTTAAAAATTCTAATACAAGACCCGATGACCGAGATACCGTCTAGAAAAAATTTTACATTTTTTTTTTTTTTTTCAAATTAAATATTTTTATAAAATTATTTTAAGTAAAGAGTTTGATACCAGAATATAAAATCGTCTCCTTCTGTAGCGTATACTCTGTTAATATCTGCAAAATAAATAATCGATTTATTAGATCGAAGGTAGGGGATGCTCTTGTGGCACCATCTATCGAGATTAATTATAAATATTAAAATTTTCAAAATTTACCTTCGGAAATCGTTAACAGTTTTTGATTATTTCTTCTTTTATATAGAACCCAATACTTTTCATTTTCTGGATTATTGATAATACTATTAATACAGTAAACGTGTCTCTTACCATTAAGATAATTCCATTTGAATCTGAATAAAAATAATATAAATAGAACAGATATTTTTATGTAGAATGATAATTTTTTTAAATTAAATAATAATAATAAAACTAACTTAAAACTTTTATCCAAATCTTGTGCTACTTGCATGATNTGTTAATAAATAATAATTAATAATAATTTATTTTGCAGTCATATAAAACAACTGTCTCAGAATCTGCAACATATCCTCATACACTACTAACAGTCCTTGCATCTGACAAAGATTCTGGTGAATTTGGAAATATTGAATATTCTGTATCAGGAGATGGTAGTGATGTTTTTGATATTGATAAAAAATCAGTAAGTTAATTTTAATGTTATAAATAATCTGAATGATTAAATTAAACTAAAATTTTATTAATTTTAATTTAAAATAGGGCACAATACAAATTCGTGAAAATATAACACTTGATAGAGAAAAACAGGCATCTTATAATCTTCAAGTTATTGCTAATGATAGTCCAAATATAATAGCTAATCAAAGAAGAACATCAGTTTTGGTATATATATTTTGATTAGATTTTGTTTTTATATTTGATGCAACTTAATTTTTAATAATAAGTCTATATTATAGGTGGTAATATCATTATTGGATGTGAATGACAATGCTCCTGTCTTTAGTCAACCATTATATACTGCAGTGGTGCCTGAAAATGTGCCAACAGATTTTAGCATTATAACCGTTAAAGCCACTGATGCAGATGAAGGAAGAAATAAAGAAATACAATACACAATTGTAGAAGATATGATTTCTGAACCTGTAGGTAAGTAATCAAGAATAATTTTATGATTACAATCATAAAGATAACAATTTTCAAAATATTAGAAACAAAAATTATTCTTGGAAATTAATTAACTCTTCAATAAAGCCTCAAATTATAGTAATCAAAAATTTTCAAAATATCAGTATAGTAAAGACTTAACAGTCAATATTTGTAAATTAGAAGAAGAGTAAATTTCAATTTTATAATATATTTTTACAAGTACAAGTAGGAAAACTTATTTATATGCAATATTATAATACAAGAAATTAAATTGGGATATTATCTTAATATCTTAATTTATGAACATATTTTCTTTTATGTTATTTTGTTATGGCTATATTATTAAAATTTGTTAAGAATGGAAAATAAACTAAATTACATTTAAAAATTTATAATAAAAATTGAATTATGTTTTCTCTTTTATGTTATTTCTTTATATTTGCTTCATTAAAAAACAGTTATAAAAAAGTTTAGAAACGTTATTTGGAAATAAAATGCTATCAAGACTATGTATTAATTTACAGTAGACCCCCTATAATACTGTAGATAATTCCGTGTTATATGAATTCCATGTTGTACAAGTCACTTAGATTTTACAAATACGTGAGCCGCTCACAGTCTGGCACACGTATTTGTAAAATCTAAGTGACTCGTACAACGTGGAATTCATATAACACGGAATTATCTACAGTGTTATAGGGGGGTCTACTTGTACATTATTTTTTCATTTCTAGTCTTAATTTCTACAAATGTAATATACTAATCAAGTGAACTATTTGAAAAATTTAAGAAATTTAAGAAGTTTTTTATAATGCATAAAAAAAACTCCAATATGTAAATAAAATAATTATTTTTCATTCTTATATTGTGATTAATCTGAAATCATTTTCTAGTAAGCAATGACATTGACTTGCATAAATACTGTAATCTAACATTACATTAGGAATAAAAGCAAACTTATTATACATATATTTTAAGTTTTTAATATTTTTAATTTTAATTTAGATTTTAGATAATGTTTGTTGCTTACGAAACATTACTANTTATAAAATTATTTTAAGTAAAGAGTTTGATACCAGAATATAAAATCGTCTCCTTCTGTAGCGTATACTCTGTTAATATCTGCAAAATAAATAATCGATTTATTAGATCGAAGGTAGGGGATGCTCTTGTGGCACCATCTATCGAGATTAATTATAAATATTAAAATTTTCAAAATTTACCTTCGGAAATCGTTAACAGTTTTTGATTATTTCTTCTTTTATATAGAACCCAATACTTTTCATTTTCTGGATTATTGATAATACTATTAATACAGTAAACGTGTCTCTTACCATTAAGATAATTCCATTTGAATCTGAATAAAAATAATATAAATAGAACAGATATTTTTATGTAGAATGATAATTTTTTTAAATTAAATAATAATAATAAAACTAACTTAAAACTTTTATCCAAATCTTGTGCTACTTGCATGATTTCGTATAGAGTGATGCTATTTGGAACAAGAAGATGGATAGAATGTGTGATGCTTCCTTCATCTCCGATCCAAACTGAATAACTTATCCGATTTTTTCCTCTATAATTTTTTGAATAAATAGTCACATTTCCTGTAAAATATACAAATGTTTATATCATAGTCAAATTTAAATTTACTTCACATTTTTTAAACTTGTATGTTTACAATCATCTCTCCTAACTTTGGAATATTTAAATTTTATTCTTTAATATTTCAAAAACAAAAAAATGAATGTTCATACAAAATAGTAATTATTTATATATTTTTTCTTATAATTTAAATATTTATCAATTATTTTTTTAGTAGGAAAAAAAAATTAAAAACTTCTAATTGCAATGACATAGCTTATCATATAATTAATAAGAACTTTTATTTATAATAAGAATATTTATTCAATATAAAATTATTATTATTATTATTATTATTTATCTAATATCGGTACATATTTTGTAATATTAAATAGAAAAATGTTTTAAAATTAATTTATTCAGTGGAAAACCTGTAGATGTAGTTGTTACTAGTATCAAATTTTAATTAGTTAATCAGTAATTCATAATATAAAAATCAGCATAATTACAGGAAAATTTAAATGTATGCGAATTAAATTAGATATTTTAGAGTTAAATAAATCTGGATTAATATGGATAGACGCAGGGCCCCGAGAGAATGGCGAGTTGTCGGTGATAAGAACAGTTTGGGGCCCTCTTTTCCGGAGACACTGCTTAAACATATAATGATATCTGAGTAAAGATATAATCTAGTATAAATGTTAGTCCATGGCCAAAGTAATTTCCTTATTTGAAAAAATAATAATCAGAAAACGGACAATTAAAATAGTTTTTCTCTCTCTGATTGGCCCTCTAAAGCTCGTTGGATCACGGAGAGGCGCCCCGGCTGCATCTTCCTCTCGTAGGGCCTGGATAGACATGTAAAACGTTATATGGTAGGAAACACGCCAGAGGCAAACAGATGGAAATACAGATCAGGAAATTTTTATATAAAATGGCTTACGTATTTTTAGTAGACGAGAGATTACATAACCAAAAAACAATTAGATTCCGGAACTTCCCGAATTCGTGGACTATGTTAATTTATTTAAAATTTATTAAAATTGTAATTATGACTAATAATTATTTTTGGATTGAATGGAGTTGTTGATACGAAGCAACACCTTATCTCTACGTCATGCCTTACTTTTGTCTTTTATAGACAAGCCCAATACGAAGTAGGATCGGCCATTTTAGTCAAGAATAGAGAAGGATACTCCAATCGAATTATCTACGAATAATTAAGACCTTTTAATTAATTTAAAATTTATGTACATTTTTCTGATCTTTTGCTACGAATTTTTGAATAAGTATACCAGTAATAATTATCAGAATTGGATTGGATTGATGGGATAAGGCTACGCGATACATGGACAATCAGTCAAAAGGATAATGCTTTCCGGGAGGATTTTTCTATGGAAACCTTACTCCCATTTAGGTGTTTACAGGTGAAAAAAAATACGGAAAACTCCACATGATTAATGTAATTATTTGTCTTCAAGTTTCGCCTTTGCCTGAAAAATTTCTGTGAATGCCCATGGCCTAAAACTTAATTAAGCCCACGGCTCCGGGAGATCCGTAATCGAAATCAAGCGATCAAAAAATCATTAAGAAATTCTGTATATTATTGATAATTTAAAATCGAAATTAAACGCCCATATTGGTTATTAACTAATGAAATATGAAAATATGAAAGCACTATTTTAAATGTTGTTTTTATTAGAATTTCGATGCTACCTAAAATCTTTCTTATATAAAATTAATTCTGATTTGATAAATTTATATATATAACTTACTTGGTTTTTCATCTTTAGTGTAGGAACAACTGACTTTTGATAAATCAAGTAGGGTCTTATGCGATAATATTGGAAGAATCAGATACGTTGCTAAAATATCTCCAAATGACCCAGATGGTAATTGCTGATCTAAAATATACATCACTGTCTTTGTAAAGTTCAAATCATTAAACTTATTAGATGCGATCAGAGCCTGAAACGAAGCATACATACATATATATACATTTTACAAGATTACACAAGATTAAACACATTTTTACAAAAGATTACACAAGATTACACAAGATTATACACATTTTTACAAAAGATTACACAAGATTACACACATTTTTCACAAGATTACACAAGATTACACAAGATTACACACATTTTTACAAAATATTACACAAGATTACACACATTTTTACAAAAGATTACACAAGATTACGGACATTTTTTCTCACTAAAAAGATTATAAAATCTTTACAAACCTGAACAACAAGAGCAGTAGTATACACATTTCCAAAACTTCCATCTGGATTCTGTAACGATTTTATAGCATTTAAATTCGCATTAATGAAATGTTGTAAATGTTCATTTTTGCTTTTTTCGTAAATACAAATCATGGCCAAGATTTTAAGAGCTGTAGCATCTGAAAACACGTAAAATATATTTCACTCGATAAAATAAATATGAAATTTTGAAATCTCGAAAAGAGACTTACCGACGTTGTACATAGTGTCTAATGTAATATTCATTACAAACAATTTTTCTATATTTTTTGCTGATATATTGTAACCCGCATTGCAAAGAGCCAAATATGCGCTCGGATTAATGTAAACATCTTCAGACATCTTGTCATTCAGGGCTTTAATTAAATTATACCCATTAAAATTATATGGATTTCTACATGTTGCTAGCCTTCCGTGAATATACTGAATCATTTTGTTGTATGAATTTGTGGCATTTCTATTTTAAAAATCAACGAATTAAATCATTATTCGTGTATTTTCAATAAAATATTTTAAAGATAAAAATATTTATATAAATATATCCAAGTACTAACTAGTCAACAGCGTAACCAAAAAGTTGCTCAGAGACACGATCTCTTTATCTTTGTAAATAAATAAATTAAGAAAACATAAAATAAGTACAAAAAAAAGGGGGTTTGAATGAGACCAATGCCTTTATATACTTGTAATAGGCCTTATAAAATTTAAGAATTCGCTCTTCAACCACGACACTAGTGATGGCCACAATGGCGGTGGTGCAGGGTAAATGTAGGTTTGCACCTTCTAACTCGGGTCCCCAAAATATTGTTTCTAATTACACTTTTAGTAACAGCGGTTATATTCGAATGTAAATTGACGTCCACCAGTGGCGAGAAGATAACATCACTGAACAGTGGTAGTTGGTCTCGGGTTTGAGCCTGACCAACGAACTTCCCAGTGTTCTTCATGTGTCTAACACCTAAATCGGAGCCAATTTCTCATAGAAAATATTCCCGGGGGCATTCCCATTAGTAGATCGCTCAGGTATTGCAAAACAATAAAGTTTTTTTTATCATTATTTGTTAGAGTTTAACAAATGAAAATAGAAATAAACTTTTCTTTTTCACATTTACAAACATACATACTTCGTATATAGGCTATATATCAGCCTATGTCTGTTTATATATACAAATTATTCAATACATATAAATTTACATCAATTATTAAATAAAGCATACGGATTATCTTCCAATTAAGCGTTTAAATACGGAATTTAATCTATATCTCTCACCTTATCAGGTTGGAAAGTATTTGGACTTCTAGACTCTTCAGAATCACTTCGTTTTCTAAATTTTCAACAGAAAAATTTAATTTGTTCGCTAGAAAAAGAGCTATTATTGCTTTTGGAGTATTTTCTCCCCAATTTCCATTCTGNTTTCTCATAGAAAATATTCCCGGGGGCATTCCCATTAGTAGATCGCTCAGGTATTGCAAAACAATAAAGTTTTTTTTATCATTATTTGTTAGAGTTTAACAAATGAAAATAGAAATAAACTTTTCTTTTTCACATTTACAAACATACATACTTCGTATATAGGCTATATATCAGCCTATGTCTGTTTATATATACAAATTATTCAATACATATAAATTTACATCAATTATTAAATAAAGCATACGGATTATCTTCCAATTAAGCGTTTAAATACGGAATTTAATCTATATCTCTCACCTTATCAGGTTGGAAAGTATTTGGACTTCTAGACTCTTCAGAATCACTTCGTTTTCTAAATTTTCAACAGAAAAATTTAATTTGTTCGCTAGAAAAAGAGCTATTATTGCTTTTGGAGTATTTTCTCCCCAATTTCCATTCTGTTTCCTTTGTTTTAAAATCCATTCTGCTGCTTTCTTTTCGGCAGAAAGAACCATGTTATAATGTTTAACAGCTAAGAAAATAAATTCTATATTTTAATGGAATAATAAACTATAAAATTATTTATTAAAAAAAATAAAATAAAATAAAGTTTGAAATGATATTAATAGATATTTATTCGCACTTGGTTATAATTACGAAAACGTATGTTTTGTTAAGGATTTACTATACAACTTACATATTAAAACACTGGCTGAACCTATAATAAACTTCAACTCACCCAATTGTACTGAAATGCCATTAAAACTGTAAAACACGTGGCATTTCGCCCGTGCATTTTGGCATATAATATTTTAAATAAACTATAGGAAAATACGTTAGTGTATATATATATATACACATAAAAATCTACTTACGACAGATTATTTCATCTAATTTATCAGGGCAATCAATATATCCATCGCATATCCAACTATTAGGAATACATTTCTCAGATCTACATCGAGTTCTGTTCTCTCCGCATCCAAAATTACCTAAAGTAGTAACTAAATTTTAATTGTTTCGTTACTTTAAGAATATTTGATATTAATTACAGGAATAATTTGACTTACCTAATGTTGAGTTTATTTGAAAACATTCTACAAAATAATGCAGTAAAATAATAAAGGAAACTGCTATGACTATCATTGGAACGAATTAATAGTTCTAGTCTGTAATAGAATATGACTGTTTTAACACAAAATGTAGTCTATTTAAGTAATTTTTCCGAAAAATCTATTATTTTGATATACATTATTTTAAAAATTATTAAACAGGATATGTAATTTAAGTGTAATTCGTTTAACTTTGATAGTAACAGGTGTCATGTAGCATTCGTTACAACGGTTCAAGATTCCACAGATTGTTGTTGCCTTTCAATTAGAAAAGCGGATAAAGTTGAGTTTAATTTCATTATTAATCTATATTTTTCGGTAGTGTAGAAGTCCTGTAAGTCAAATCTTAATAATTAAAACTAAAAAAAGAAAATATGTAATGTTTTCTTTTTATCAAACTCTTAACCAATGTATTGTTTATGGATTTTGTTGTATTAAAAAGGATCGTATCGTATCGATGGGATAAGGAAAATCATTATAAGGGGAGAACTTTCTATAGGAAACTGGATGTTACACCCACGAACCCACGATAATTTATTTGTTTATAATGATATAAAATATATTATAAAGTCAATTTTTTGCTTTATAGAGTAGACTTAAATTCATTTAATAGCTTTAAATTTAAATTAAATTAGTTTAAACTTAATATATAATATATATATATAAATTAACTATTAACATCGTAAAATATCATTACGTTAACAAAATTTGCGTTTAAAAAAAAAGCAAATTTTAATTAAATAGTATTAAAATTTATTTTTAGCTTATTTTGTATTCGAATCAATTAAAAATGTATTTATATAACTATAATTGATATTTGAGAGTAAATAGGCTATAAATAAATGTATAAAATGATAAAGTTACAGAACTTTATTATGTTAACTACCCCTTCAGACGTATGTTTTTTTTTTAAAGTAAAAGTTCTAAAATTGTTAAACTTTTCTATATTTATAAATAAACAAATACTAAAGCTTTAGAATCGACAGCTAAAATACCATCAAGAGAATGTAGTACCTTTCTTCGTAAACTGTCCTGTTTAAGGATTATATTTTGAAACAAACTTTCACTCTTGATATTTAATTCATTAATTAAGACACTTTTTTTTAAATTTAATTTCTAAATGAATAAACAAAACGTCTTTTATTCTATCAACAAGCTAACAAAACCGATTTAACAAAGATTGGATTTTTTTTTCCTCCTCTCTTTCCATCACCTTAGAAATAAAAGAATGGTTTGAGGTAATTAAAAGGCGATAAATATCAATAAAAAAAAAAAAAGAAAAGAAAGAATAAAATCCGTTCTAAATATTTATTTTGCAATTTATTCAGCGGCAAGAAAATAATAATAATAATAATAATAATAATATAAGAAAAAAAAAATAAAAAAATAAAGTAAAAGCGGTTCTTTCTTCCAGTGAAATATCTGGAAAGAGAAAGATGCATTGTTTTTCCAGTTGGAAAACTGTCTATCCTGTCGAAGAAATGTAAGCGGATTAGAGTAGACGATAGGAAATAATCAGGTTTTGAGGCTGCCTCTGTCCAAACCAAAGTACATCAATATGCAAAGCTTCCCGATAAGGGGTTTTGCGATTAAGACCGCCAATCTCAATCCCTTTTTCTTTTTACTTTATACTTTCCATCAGCTAAAAACAAAAAAAGAAAGAAAGAAAGAATAGAAGAAAGAAAAAAAAACCCAACATAATCTTCGCATGTTGTAATACTTTTATTGTAATTTTTCTATTACCAGAATAGATTCATCCTTTCAAAAATGTGTTGGTGGAGATAGGTGTGTGAAATGTCATGTGTTCGGATGTATAAAACAACGCATTTATACACACGGCCAGTTATCTCATTGATATTCAGAGTAATGCTTTCCAGATAATGCTCGGGGATTACCGTCCAGATAGATCTTTTTAGCTAGCAGGCTAAACAAATACCTTCGAGCTAAGAATCTTTATTGGTGTTTAAAGTGAATCGTAAATTATTTAAAAGGATTAAATCAGGGAGGAGAGGGGAAAAAAATTCTTTTTACTTTACCTTCTCTTAAAATCTTCGTTAAAATTATAATTGAAAAATATTATTTACTTTTTTTTCTTTTTTAGGCTATAGAAAGTGCTGCATCTGTTTGGAAAAGAGAGTGGAAGACAGTCCCACGCCTGGCTCTTTAGTGCTATTCTATTGTCCCTTTAGCTAGAGTGTTTGCTGACCTTCTCTAATTTCACACACATTAAGAAACAGAATGTACGAAGTGTTAATGGAAAAAGGCTTGAGACTCGTAAGTGGGACGAAAATGCTTAATTTGTTATATTAAAGTTAATACGAAGACGAGATAAAACTATTTTAAAGAGCTTATTCGGACGGAAAGTTTCGAGTCCGCAACACTTTAAACTCTTATTATTATTATTATTAATTTTTTTTTAATGAATTAATTCGATTGTTAACACGATCCACAAGTGAAAAAGCAAAGTGGTTGATTGACAGGAACAAGTACGTAACCGGACTCAATGTAAATTGGGAGATGTTGGACCAGGTGTTGTGTTCCATTGACTGGACGTCGATGTAGGTGTGAAGTACAGATGTCCAATGTGGCCATTTGGTGGCCGATCATGAGTGGTTGATTGTTTCAGTCACCATACTACTTTGTGTGTCAATAAAGCCATTAAGACGTCTTTTTGTAAGAATATATTTACTTTTGTAACGCATGTCTCTTCTAAACGGGAATTTAGATAATAGGATTTACTATCCCCGTACACTTAATACTTTTCTTTTTCGATTATTGAGAGATTGCTCTCTCGAGAAAAATAAGTTTTACTGTAAAATTTATGCTTAGAAATGTTCGATTTTGATTCTATAAAAGCGTTTTTTGAGAATTTAAAACTATAAATAGCATGTCTGATTGATTTGGCAAATTACTGATTTCATCTATACATATCTTATTTGGAACTAAACATTCAAATTTTACAGTGAAATTTGTACAACACACATCTCATATTGACATGTTTATTGCTGATAGTAACTAGTTAATCAGTATATTGATCATTTTCATTGCCATTTATATCTACTTTGGAAACAAGAGAGAAAGATTTGTTTTGATAGCAGGCAGAAAAGGTATCTGTCAAATGTGATCAGATTATTGATCAATTTCAGGTTACCATTTGTCAGGAAACAACTAAAAACATTTAGAAAAAAATATAGAAAAACAAACTGTAAACAAAATGCTTACTAGCACTAAAATAAAAATACTGGAGGAAAGCAAAACAGAAAAATATGAAATTTTGAAAGAATTTGACATTCTACTGGAGTACTCTGGTCTACATGTATGAAAAACTTCAAAGAACAACAGAATCAGACAAAGCATCTGGATATTCACATTTATGCTAAGTATGTATTGAAATAGCCAATATGGTATAGACACAAAAATTCTGCCAATAGAAAACTTCCGAGAAAAAAGCTGAATAATTCAGATAATACTGAATTTAAAGCAAGCAGAAAGGGCAGGATAAATTGAAGAATAAGCATGAAGTATTTTTCAATAAAATCTGTGGGAAAAGTGAAGAAGAGCAAGTTTGCACAAGCTTGTTGAAAGTTTATCACCAGGATGAAATTTTCAATGCGGATGATGAAGTGGAGTTACTTTTTTTGTGTCTGCCAGACAAAACAATAGAATTGAAAGGTGATTCAAGTCAGAGGTAAAAACAGCAAAGAATGTATAACACTTCATTAGCTGTCAAGTTTGTTCCTGAAAGAAAACTGCCATTGTTATTAATTGGAGAATCAATGTTTTGCATTGCCAAAATGTACTTATACAATATGCAGCAAATAAAAAAAAAGGATGGATGATGTCAGAGCTTTTTTTTCTAAGAGGCAGTTGGCAGTTGTGGGTGTTTCAACCCACAACTGCCAAAAAAAAAGAAAAATTAAAAATTGAAGTGCAGAAATTGTCATCATAAAATACAACTTCTAGATCATGATACAGAAAACTTACTATTTATAAATGATGGTGACAAATGNTTTTTTTTTTCTGTTATAAATTTTGTATTTATATATTTTATTTTATGTTTATTTAAAGGTTTGGTTTAAAAATCGAAGAGCGAAGCATCGAAAATATTATAATAAATCAAAAATTCCGGAAAATAAAATACAAAATAAAAAATATCAATCGACGAAAAATAATAGTCAAAGCGAAGAAAACGTCGGGAATTTACTTATTGGTAATAGTTTTATATAGTAAAATATTTTAATAATTATAAAGTTAAAAGACGAAAAATTTACTATATGATAAATTTATTGTAGAAAGGCCCAACGTAACCACTTCAGAAATAAATGATTCTAATAATTACGGAGGTATTAGATATTTTTAATAATAATAAAATTAACAAAATTTTTTAATCATTTAAAAGACGTTTAATTCATTTATAAAATCTTTTCAGAAGTGTTCCCGTTAGATCCAAACATGAATTACATTAACTCTTGCACCGATATGATGTCAACAAAATCCATTCATCCTTTATGTCCGGGTTGTCCTTGTCCTTCAACGTCCTTCTATTCCATTTCTCATCCTTCCTGGTCCTACTTTCATCGAAGTCCTCAAGATTTCTGTTATCAGTCGAACTTGTTATTGGCTATGAAACCATTTCTTTATCAAGATACCATGACGTAACAAGTAAATGCTTGGTTCAAGTTTTCATCATAAAAGTAAATAAATGTTTAGATTTAGAGTAAAGTTTTGTCTTTATTATTCGTATTAGAAATATAAGAAAACGTTACCTTTAAAAACTTCTCATTGATATAATTAAAGATTCCGGCGGTAATAAATTTCATAGATAAGATTTTTTTTTATTTTATTTTAAAACGTTTAGAAATTTTAATAAAACACAACCTTATTTATATGAGTTTTTGGCGCTACAAAAAGATTAAGTTAATAGAAATAAGATAAAGGTAATAAGTCTTTTATTGTTATCATATAAAAATAAAGTTAATAAAGAAGTAATCGTAACTATTATAACATTATTACTTATTATCTTTTTGTAACAAAAGTAAACAACTAATTAATAAAGTTTGAAGTATGTTTTCGTGAAGCTAACTCCTAAAGATATTTAATGAGCAAACAAGATAAGCTCCTAGATAATTTTATCTTTTATTTACTTGAAATATATTTTTAATATAGACGAAATAGGAGTCGTTTTCTCCTATGGTTCCGTAGTTAAGAAACTATAATCCTATAGGAAAATAATATCATAAGTGAAATCCTTGAGGCAAGAAAACGTTTAGTCATTTCTAGCATTATTTGCTAGAAAAATCACCGTAAATTTCCGAAATTACTCTGTATTTTAGGAGAGATTGATGGTGATTAAGGATATTAGAGGATGATAGACTCTGGAATTGTATAAATACAACAATGTTTATCAAAGAAATTGAGTTAAAAGTCGTTATCTATCCATTTCGAAAAAGTTTAATTAATTTTAACACAGATAAAATACTTATTAAACTCATTTATGCGTGTATTATTGTAAATAATTAACATCATAAGCATCATAGAAGAGTAGAAAAAACTTTTATAAATATAAAATTTTCATGTAGTCTAATTCTTTATTATAATAATAGAATAACATTACAGTATAATTGTTTCACGTACAGTAAATGATTAATATATTGAATTACATTATATAATTATATAATTATCATTATAACATATTTAATAACTGTAATTCTACTTTCTCATTGCTTTTTTTTTACCATCTTAACAAGTAAAAAGTATTGTCTTATTCTGTTTAAATCAGTTTAATGTGAACTTTATGAGAATGTCATACGAGAATCAACGTTAATTTCATTAACGATTTTCCAAAAAAAAAAAACTAAAAAAAAAATCGATTTATTTTGTTATGCTAATCTCCGATTGTAGTGTTTGAGAAATTCAAATTCATTTGTTTTTAGTTTTCCAATCGATTTCGTCATAAACAGATGTAGAATAGATGATTGGCATTTTGTAGACGGTTTGTTTTTGTATTCAGGGATAATAAAAACGAAAGAAAATAACAAAATCTGAATGCTAACAAATTTTTCTAGCGAACACTCGAATTTCTGAGAAATAATTTTATCTGGAAATATTTTTCTATTGTTTTCAGGGTCGATATTAACTCCTTGGATTGATTGACTTTAAAGAGTAGTCGATACATGCCAAGAAATTTAATGAAAAACTATATTTATACCTTACAAAATGTTATGAGTATATATATATATATATATATATATATAGTTTAAATTTTAATAATTATTCTATGTAAGAGTGTGTACGCTGAAACCAATTTTAATTTCTTTCCTGTAACAATGAACTCCTAAACAATAGCATATAGAACCATCTTTAACCTAAAATAAATGAATCATTCTGCTATCAAAAAAACACTTTTCTTTAGTTTTCATTTTATACTAAGACAATTTTTTTTTGTTTTATATTCTTAATAAATTAATTATTATTAACAGCTTTTTATAATTTATCAGTTAAAAGGCAGTGTAAAGGTGAGTAAATGCTTTTATAAGAAGTCGACAAGTAAAACAGATTAGGAATTTAATGTATAAAATGAAAAGGTAACTCTATGGAATTTCTATATCTATTAAAAGAAAACGCATACTAACCAATGGTACATTATAGATTCATGGGGACCAGGTGAATTTGAATTAGGGGGCTTCGTGTACAGCGCTGACTTCAGATATTTTTCTTCGGGGGGGAAATATTTTCTTATAAAACATTGGTTTGTTTGGAGCCCCAGGCAATGGCCCTTTTTACCCACAAGATAACTCTCCGCTAATTTTTACTGTTATAGTATTTACGAAATTCTTGGCATATTGTTTATAAGTACAAGAAGACACCTGGTAATATAGATCTCATGATTACTAGACACTATTTTAGGAACTCAACCCGCTTAAACTTGTGACTGTAGACACTTTCGGTAATTCGATTTATTATTCAATTGTTAATATTTTTGAACCACATTTGAAATGAATATATAAAGGCATACATAATACAAGTGTACTATTTTAGTACACTTGAAGAAACTATCTTTCAATTTTCTGTCAACGAACACGTAGTATATGTACAAGACAATACAATAAAGTACAAAACAGTACATAATACAGACCCTTTATAAAAAAAATAGGCATCGTCGTCTTACGGTAAGTTATATTAATATTATATTTTATCAAGTAAGACATATTAAAGGTTACATTATTTACTTAAAAACTAAACAGATCCTACTTAAGAATGAAAAATAGGGATACGAATTATAATTAATTTATGTATTTAATAATTAAGGAGTAATAATTGCATTAAAAACCTTAACTCGAAACCTCTTTTGTTTATTTTCATCTCGGCTATAATACTGAATGCTATATCTTAAAGTAAACTGAATATTTTTGACAATAGTGTCGTGGATTTGCGCAAAGTTTTATGGGTTTTCTTCACGTTTGTAACACCTAAATGGGTGGGATCAATTTCTCATAAAAGACCTCCCGGGAGACATCGCGTTACCGTAATCAAATAAAACAATCAAAATATTAAATATTATGATGCTATTTAATCGGTACTAAAAGACATTATAAAATACATTACCGAATAATTACGTCATAAAAAAAATCTAGTGTATATAAAGTATATACACGTGTCTTTTATTTGATCTATTGGCACTACGAAGCCCATTTTTCTATACCTTTCGTGGATTCGGCCAGATTCACAATGGGGTGAGGAACGGTGCTCGACGTATCCGGAACTGACCAGCCATAAATATGTCTTAAAATTGCTTGCTCAGATTACATTCCTAGTCCAGGAGCGGTAGGATGAGAAATTAATGCAGGCAGCAGAGGTTCATTTTATATTAAAACAAACCAAAGAAATTGTTTTTACATTTTTATTTTATGCAACTGTGAAAAAATAAAAAATATAAAGACAAAAAAAACTATAAGATATAAGAAGAGGAACCAAAGGAACTGTGATATTTGATAAAACATCAGGTTTTCCTCCATTTCTTTTATATTAAAACTAAAATTTAATATCTAATTATTGATAATTATACAAGATAACATTATCGCTTTCTACATTTAAACGAAATTTCGATATTAATTATTTAAAAAAAATAATAATCTTAATTAAATAATCGAAAATAATATGGTATTTTAAAGCGTTTATAGCGATAGTTTTTTTAAATATTTTTTATTAACTTTTTCATTACGAAGGGGGGAGCCAAAACCCCCTGAATACGTCAGTGATTAACACGCACTGTACTGTAGGTGATCATTTGATTATTACGTAAACACAGAAAATGTATTTTTAGAGATTGAAACACCGAATATGTAGCGACTAATTTAAGCATTGCATATTAATTAAATTCGATTTATGTAAAGTAGTCTCTGTTTTCCAATATTATCAATAGTCCATTTCGATATTCCTCACCCATCTCAGACTTCTCTGCTTTGTCAAACCATTTTTTTGCAGGTCGACGTATAGATAAACTAATGCAAACCAATCACAGTGAATGATCTAATACTTATATTAAATATTATTGCATGTTTTCGTTGTAATTTGATAATCGTACTTACATTTTGCGGGAAGAAAATCTCTTCGAAATTCTAACATAATACCATACTCCAGACACCTGAAAGTTATATAATATTTTTAGTATTGTTAACCTTAAATTAAGTAAGAATGTTAAATATTAAGAGTAACAGGAAATAGAAGAACACAAACTACTGGGATCATGACATACTTCAGCCACACTACTCGAGAGATTTTACTGTAATTGGAACTCTTATTGAGTTTATATGGATGGCTGCTCCGCGTGTTCCAAATTCGAACATCATCCCACCATTTGGCTTCATTTATTAAGAAAGTAACAGATTAATTAAAAGCTGTGGCATAAGAACAGTGGATGTAGAGTTGAGAGTACCATGTAGTCTATATAAAGTGCACATTACATAGACTACAACTACAGGAAATTTTTAATGAAGCAATGTCGTCGTGATTATAAATAGGAAAAATAAACATCGGCACAGAAAAAGACTTCGAGCTCTACTTTCTGCATTAAAATCGTCGGACGTACTGTACAGTACATTAATTTGGCTCAACGTTAGAACATATTTTAACAGTATCAGTAGGAAATTTGGGACAATGGGTTTATCAGTTAAATAGATGCAAGTGGAGAAAAGATATGAAATCGGAAGAGAAGGAAGACCAGATTAACTATATGCAAACTTCTGGTTTGCACCGAAAAATTACATTATTTCAATTTAAAAATTTTCTCCTGGATGGAGTTACATACATAACTGGTACGACTCTATTTCTAAAAGAAAACGTATGATATAGAGGGGCAAAATACTAATCTACACAGGCAAGTACTATCAAGATCTATAAACATAAGGTCAGGACACTAATAGTTTCAATGGAGCTGCCATTTTGGATCCACAGTTCCAAGATCACGGTGCAGATTTCATACTGTAAACTGCACGTTCCATCGAGTTCGAGCCACAGAATTCCAATTTAAAATACAGTATTTTTTTCATTTAGAAGTTACTGTTGATACATAATTAAAGACTTTAACTAAATAGGTTTAAAAATAAAAAGCTATATGAATTTATAAAAGTAATAATAATTACAAAATATGCACTAAATTCCAGTTAAATTTTTCTTATTGAAT